TATCTATCTATCTATCTATCTATCTATTTATATTTCACATTTGTCACCACCCATGTCACTGGAAGTGACTCTGGACGATTTACAGCAAAAGAATAAATATTAATTAAAATACAGTATAATAATATTTCTACAAATAATAAATATCTTCCAAGATATTGCTGGTGAACTAAAAATTATTAGGCTCAGGGAGCATCTTCAAGGTGCCAACCACCCCCAGGGTTGATTATACCTCTTCTCGCCCCATGCAAGTCGGCAGAGTCAGGTCTTCAGTTCTTTCCAGAATTGCAATGGCATGAAAGTCCTGTGTGCAAACTGGGCATTCATGTGAGTTTCTCCCTCAAATCAGCATATACCTATTGATGAGGTTTATGAGTTAGCACAAACTCTTTCACAGAATTCTATCTAAATTCACTGCAGTTGGGAGCCTTGATAAGGCAGGATTATATGAGCCCTTTCACATCCATCTTCCTTTGCCCAGTTTGTTCTCAAACGTTCTGTTGCATGCAGGCATCTCAGCTTGATGGTAAAATTGGGTCACAGTTAACAATTGACCTTTCACCATACATATGTCTAGTGGATGTTAAGATCCAGAGAGGGCTATTTTATTCTCCATTAATTAATCTGGGCTACAAGAGCACAAGACTGTGATGATCAAGACTCACAAAATGTCAATTTGAACATTTCCATGGAGAAAATGCCCAAGGAGCTAGCAGTTCCTTTAAATCTGTAGCTCAACAGGAATGAGCAAAATAATGTTGATATGTAATAGCAGTGACCCCAAGAAATGGTTCTCCCTCCCCTCTTTGTTATGCAGAACAAGATCACAGGGGCGTTAAATAAATCTCTGGGGGAGATTTGAATGGGCAAGGGAAGGGTCACAAAAGGAGGAGAATTCCAAAATAAAGATCCACTCGCATTTTCTGACTGGTGGTTTGGCTGGTGGGCAGAAAAAGTCTGACGTGTCGTCTGCAGGGAGAAGTGTGGAAAATAGCAAAGCTTTGGTCCTTCTGACCCATCGGAGCGTAGCAAATTGTCAGAGACAGAAGCCTGTAATGAAATACGGCTAGGGAAAAATAAGGCGATGTAGCTCTGGATGAAAGCATAGGTAGCTTTCGACCCTCAAGGGAGGGATTACGGGGGAAAGGAAGAGATCCTTCAGACCCAGACCCCAAACAGCTGCAACAGACTACAGTGCTAGACTATATCTCTTGCATGAAGAAGGGACATGTTTCAGTCCCTGGAGATGTCATTAGACAGGGAAACGTCTTTGCAATCCCCCCTACAGTTTGCAAAAGTGAGAGGAAGTTTCAGCGATTTTCTTGGAAGGGAGTGAAATGGGAGAGCAGGACACAATGCCACTGATTAGTGTGGCTGTCTTGTGAAAAGAAGCTACCATATTTAATCCTGCAGAATCCTCTGCCCTCACTATTTCATAATGCACTTGTTCCATAGTGCTCTTCTCAACAATTATATCTTGAAGTTAAAAGAATCCCCACTTGCTTAAACGTCTATCCTGCCTTCTGGCTTACAGAAGAACTTGAGATGGCTTGAAAGAGTAA